CCCCAGAGCCTGCTGAACCGTTGCAGGCTCCTTAGGAAACGAGCTGCGTGTGTTCCCGTGGACTGCGGTGACGAGGCCGAGGATTTGCAGCCCAGTCTGTGAGTATCGAGGGAGTTCTGGATCCTCGGGATAAGCTGCTTCGTCTCCCGTTTCTGGGTCGGGCATGAAATTTGGCCCTACCCTTTCTGCTTCGTTGGTGTTGACTGTCACAGGTGTTACGTAACCATCGTCGGCGAAACGGTAGAAGATTTCGGCGTTGTTACTGTCGCGAGGATTATCCTCATCCATGGGCACGTCGACGGAGCAGTATGGGAGAGGTCCGGCTTCTTCTGAGGCGTTGTCGACGTTCTGTTCATCCCAGTCTGCTTCGTCCGCTGCTGACGCGAAGGCTCGGTCACCACGAAAACCACTGGTGAGGTCCCGATTCTCGTGCAAGTTGGCGAGGTACGTCTGAAGGGTGAGTCTTTCGTAGAAGATCACGTCACGTGCTGCTACTGTTTCCTTTGTGTGGACGTCGAAGATTTTCCATGCGTTGTAATTTTTCTCGGTGCCGAGGTGTAGTCCCCACTGTGCCCGTTGCGAAAATCTTCCCGCTCGTGCTTCTGGGGGTCTGTACTGTACCATGCACCCGAAAACTCGTAACATTTTCGTGCTGCCCTGCTTCCCTGTCCACAGCAGATGCGGTGATGCGTTGTTCGGGAGTGACGACGACGACAACAAGTTGTGTAGCATGACAGCGTGGTCCATTGCTGCTGGCCACTGGTGGTTGGGTAGCCGCATGCCACGTAATAGTTTGCGCATGCTGTTCTGCAGGGTCCTGTTCAGTCGTTCTGCAACACCTTGCTGCTGATGTGCGTAAGGAAGGGAGAGGAGTTGCTTGATCCCCCTTTCCGCCAAGAACTGCTTGAAGCGGTGAGAGGTGTACTCGCCACCTCCGTCTGACTGGAATTTTTTCAGTTGTGTTCCAGACTCTCTCTCTGCTATCGGTAGCCAGGCGGCGAATGCTGCGAGCGCCATGTCGCGGCTGGGTAGGTTGCGATGCCAGACGTATCGAGTGGCGGCGTCGATGAAGGTGATGGTGTAGTTGTAGTTGACTTGTCCTGGCTCGCGATTGTAGAGGATGTCGCTGTAGACTTTTTCGAGTGGTGCGTACGCTGGAGCGCTCGGGTTGTGATGTGAAGCAAACGGTCGATGAGGTAAGTCAGCTTCGGGACATATAAGGCAAGTCCCTCGTGCCTTCTGGAGTTCTCTGCCATCGGGTAGAAGTAGAGAATCTTTGTCAAGGACTCCTGCTCTTATCGTGTTATTCAAAACCGTGTTACTTGGATGTCCTGTTCGTGCGTGCCAGATCTCTTCAGAGGCACGGTGTCCAGGTGAACGCTGATATGCGTCGGAGTTGGAGTAAAAGCTGGCGACGAGGTTGGCGCTTCGGTGGACTTCACGTTGAGTCGGATTCAGCTGTTTCGCGGGTGTTGGTGGTGCTTCGTCGACTATGACTGGTGTCGTTGTTCCTGCTGCTGCTGATGTTGTTGCTGCTGCCGATGTTGTTACTGCTGCTGATGTTGTTGCTGCTGCCGATGTTGTTACTGCTGCTGATGTTGTTGCTGCTGCCGATGTTGTTACTGCTGCCGATTGTCGAATTGTTGCTAATGCTCGTGTTCGTTCTGCTTCAGGAATGGTGTGCGAGTACCAGAAGCCTCCTGGGCTGAAGTCGGGGTCGAGATCCGGAGGGTGTGTCCAGTCAGTGAAATTCACGATGGCGTCGCTGTCTGCAGTGCCCAGGTCAGGAACGAAGTCGAGGACGAAGACGTTGTTCTTCAGCACTGCTTTCCCGATGTAGAGACCGCCTCTCCCGTGGTAAAGTTTGAACTCCTGGGTCGTGCTGTCGGCTTCCAGATGAATTCCTTTCGCCATCAACTGGCTAACGCTCAGTAAGTTGTAGCCGAGTCCTTCAGCGATGAGTACCTTAGACATGTGCAGTATGACATTTGTTTCTCTTGACTGAAGCTGTACCACTCCTTGTCTTCGTGTGCGCAGGTTTTGGTTGTTGGCAACCGTGATGATCACTTCCCGTTGGAGTCGATGTTCGCGTTGTACGAAACGCCCGGACGAGCACATGTGTTGCCCGCAGCAACTGTCCAAGAACCAGGTGTCTTGGCCGGACGGTTCACTTTGAGCGATGGCGGCGTACGTTGGATTCGGCTGGAGTAGCTCACGGCGAGGCGTTCTGTTGTCAAGCTCTTCTTCCGGTGAGTAGTGTGGTGGTGATTCGGTTGTACATGAATCGGTTATCTTCGTCATGCAGTTGATTATATTTCTTGCTCCTTGTGCAGGTTGTCCGGGTGAAGTCGTTGAAGCTTGAATAGTGGTCGTCGCACTTGCTTGTGTTGAAGCCATTTGGGAGCTTGAAGGTCGAAGTTGTCGCTGTGGTGCCGTTGATTGCTGACGATTCGGGCAGTGTGTGCGCGGGTGCCCTGAAGTCTTGCAGATGTGGCAGAAGGGAGGTACTATCTTCGGTTGCTGCTGTCGGTTGTTATAATTGCTGTGTCGTCGTTGAGTGTGGAATGCGAACTCTGATACTGTCGTTTTCTTCCTGTGTCGTTCTTCCTGCAGGTCCATATCTTGCTGCTCGGCATGTATTTCGGCGCAGAGTGCAGCTTCAGAGATTCTTCCGTGGGCTCGAAGAATGGCTTTGGTGGCGCGCCACTGAGGACCAAGCCCACCAATGATGACTGTCACGAAGGCGTCTTCAGAGATTGACCCTCCGCATCGAAGCAGCTTGTCGCGCAGTTCGCGACATCGGCTGATATACGCCAGTCCTTTTTCTCCTGGTTTCATTTCGACTGTCGTCAACTGCGCCATTAACCTGCTCTGGTTTACACTGTCTGTTGCTTGATACAGGTTCTTCAGATGGCTGTACGCGAGCTCCGCCGAGTTGCCGAAGGTCCGGTAAGAGCGAATGTTCTGCTGCTGAGTTGGTGTCACATTCCTCAATAGGATTGTATACGCCATCATTGATTGATACGTATACTGCTGCTTTTCATATTGTGTCCCGTTGGCTGGATACTGCAGGGACCCGTCGAAGAAGCCGAGTATCTGCGCGCCCTCCATCATCAGCTCGAATTCAAAGGACCAGGTAAAGAAGTCTTTGCCGTCGAAGGGTCTTGACGTTTGCAGTTTTAAGACGTGTGCAAACTGCGACTGAACTTGAAGTGCGTCCAGTGGTCTTTCTTGTCCAGGTGAAGGTTGCGGGTGGGGCACGAAGCTGATTGACCCGCGCTCGTACGGAGCAAATGTAGGTTGCTGCTGCTGGTTTCCTCGCGCATATGACGACCCATCAAGACTCATGGGTGTCGCTCCGTTGTTGCTGTTGTGTGTTTGTGCAGGTCCCGACTGCTGGTGTTGTTCGTAGAAGGACATGAAGGAGAAAAATTTCTCCATCATGTTCTGGTCAAAGTCCGAAGGGTGGTTCATGGGGGTCTCGGTTGACGTTCCTCTTGGTCTTGTTGCCGTGCCTTCTTCTGTCTGCAGGCCAGAGGCTGACGGTGGAGTAGGAGTAGTGCCCGAGGAGCCATTAGGGGAGCTCCTTTCCTTGTTTGTTGCCATGTCTTGTAATGATATTGAAAAAAGAGTAGAGTTTCCCTTGTCTGCTCTCATACCATGTTGGGCTGAGATAGCCCCTTAGGATCTTTGCAAGGGATAACTCTAGGTGAAGTAGTTGTAATAGCGGAAGCGTTTAGTGAAGAATTTGAACCGACCTTGCACTGGTGTGTGAGAGCAAAGTTGATTGAATTAAACAAGCAAATACAAGGATTTATATAAGAGTACAGGGAATAGATAACTGTATTGCTGTTGCGGTTCGATATAGCGCGACTCGGGCAACTGCTCTGTAACGAGTCAGTTGTGTGTCCTTAACTGTCGCGCTGTAATTGTCGAGTCAAAGGTCAGCGACCTTTGACTTTCTCGTAACCTCCAGGCGGTTACCCTAACCTCCGAGGTTGACTCGATGCTTCGATTGGGACTGCTTCGCTTGGTACCTTGGATTTTGATACGACAGAAGCGCACTTAGGACTTATTGTTTCCAACATTATTGACTGTGTAGCTGCTCAGGCCAACCAGCAGAGCCCATCCCTTCCTGCAATTGTGCTTCCTTCGATCCACGCGCTGGGCACTTCGGACCCCTACACCGCGTAGTATACGTGCCCAACCATTTCAAACCGCTCTGATTAAGGTTGATGCTTCAGCTGGAGATTCAAATCACGAAGTCCTGAGTCTCACCGTTCCGATCCGTGGCAGTGGAGATTCAAGCTCAGCTTCTCGCCATTTCCGATTCGCCTGAATGCTGCACGAGCAGGCCAGACTCCAAGTCCACTGATATACTCCTTACTACGATATTTTATCTAGAACGCCGGTAAATTCCTTGTTCCTGGTGCCGTATATTAGTGGAGTCTTTTCGTGGGTCGCATCGGAGTCCGGCCTCGTGATTATCAGCTATCATCGCCATGGAGGTACGCCGATCAGCATCCGCAATGGCTCCCTTCTTACGGAAAATTTCTGCTTTACAGTTCGCGTGTGTGCTTCCCTCATCCGGCCTCACATTGGGTTGACATCTCGCAGGTGTCGGCGCCATTGATAAAGAACATCCTGCTACTGGATTCAGAGGGGAAGCGAGTAGCGGTGAAGTACTATTCGGACGACTGGCCCACCCTCGCAGCCAAGCTAAATTTCGAGAAGTCGCTTCTGAGCAAAACACAACGCGCCAATGCCAGAGCAGAAGGTGTGGCTCTCTTTGTTTCCTTTTCCTTCACACGCAGTTCACCTATCCGTTCGCAAAGTGCGCTGCGAACTTTCTAATGCATGCGGCGATACATAACATGAGAAGAATCCTGACCTAGCGATCAGCTGCTCTCATCATCTCCAATATCGCTGCGGAAAGCTGACAAAATTCAGTCGCACTTTATCGTTCCCCGTATGGATGTGTTTTGAGTCGACTCAAAACAATGTCTGAGCATCTCAGCCGTACCTTTTTGTTTCCCGTGCGGATCATTGATCTCCGCGTGTGCCCCGTGTCCCGTGCAGCGGAGATCGGCATCTTCGAGGGGTTCATCGTGGTGTACAGGTTTATCGCGGATCTGCACTTCTACGTGACGGGCGGCGAGGACGAGAACGAGCTCATCCTCTCCACCGTCCTCACCGCCTTCTTTGAAGCCGTCTCGCATCTGCTCAGGTGACCCCCCTCCCGGACCAGCACCACTGAGTTGACTTGTGGCTGTTGTTCAGGTGATCCACTCCCGGACCAGCGCCAGCGCGTGTTCGTCTTTTCACCCTCATCCCGTTCACTTTCTGGGCTTCACTCACTCCGTTTCCTGCATGGCATGGCCTCACACTTCCCTGTCAGGGTCAACTTGTCATTTCTGTTGTTGTTGTTTTTTTTTATATATATATTTTTTTCTACATTTGGTGAATCTAATAATCCGACTGACATGCGCGTGGTGCGCTGCGCAGGGGCAACGTGGAGAAGACGGTGCTGGAGAACCTCGACCTCGTGCTCGTCTGTTCACCCTCATCCAGCTCGCTCACCCTATGGCTTCTCTCACTTTGTCTCCCGCATGCATGGCATGACCGCAGGGGCAACGTGGAGAAGAAGACGGTGCTGGAGAACCTCGACCTCGTGCTGCTATGCCTGGACGAGCTCGTCGACGGCGGGTGAGTGCCCGCTTGCTCTCCGTTCCGCTCTGGGTACACCTAGGGATGTGGGGGGGGGATGTGGTGTTGGAGATGTGGGGGGGAATGTAGGGGGGGATGTGGCGGGTGACTGGGAATGTGGATGGCTGGATGCCTGATGTGATGGTAAAGAAGGCACTTGCGGTGGATGGCCGCAGTTGGGCTGCAGGATTGCGAGCAGAGAAGTGCTGCATGAGCAACCTGTGCGTGTGGGGCTAGCCTGGGGATGGGGCGGGGGATGGGGCGGGGGATGGGGCGGGGGATGTGGTGGGGGATATGGTCGGGGATTGGGAATGTGCGTCATTGATTCCTGCCGTGTGTTATGGTGTGTGGACTGCACACAGACCAGTATAGGGTGGATGGCTGGTTGCCTGACTGGGTGGCAAACTATAGTAGGCGCTTGCGGTGGATGGCCACAGTTGGGTTGCACACAAGTACCAGCAGTGTAGTGCTGCATGAGCAACCTGTGCGTATGGAGCTAGCCTGTGCATATGAAGGTAGCCTGCGCATAGCTGCAGGTGGCGGTGGTGGCATACTTTGCACCCTGTTCATGACTGGCTGTGCTGGGACCCGCTGTGATGGTCTCAGCTGCACTGAATGGGCTTCCCTCACCCTTTATTCTCCCACCTATTCGTTCTCTCCGCTCCTTGTGACGGACATTGCCGTGTGGCACGGGACACCCACTTATGCGGCCTCCCGGCCCCTGCTGCTGCCTGAACCCCATCTGCGCTGCTTGACACCCCAAGTGCGCTACGGAATCCAATCGTGTGTGTGTGTGCGGTAGGGTGATTCTGGAGACGGAGCCCACAGTGATCGCCAACAGAGTCGCCATGAGAGGAGCCGACGCCGACCTGCCTCTTTCCGAACAGGTGAGGGAGCAGTGTGTGGCCCTTGGTTAGGTTAGTGAAGAGTGCATGGCACTTGGAATATATCAGTGCATGATTCATGTCCTGAAACTGCATGAAGACAACACAACACCAGTCAGTTGTGAGTTGTTGACTTCCATGCCCGGGTTCACTTGCTTTCTTCGTTTGCTCTCCCTACCACCTTGGCCGAGTGCTGCTAGCATTGGTCGTGCAATGCTGCATTCAAATTTCTATGTTTCAAGTACAATGCACCATGGGCCAACCGAGCTGATAATCCATCCTTGACTCTCCCACTCGATCTGCCATTTATTTTGTGTGTGAGGTGTTTGAGTGAGGGAGTATGTGTGTGTGGGTGTGTGTATGTGTGTCCTCATGAGTGTGAGGTGTGATTGCGTGTGTCTGTTTGTTTGCCTGCATGCAACGCACATGTGGTGTGTGGTCTATGTGATTGTGTGTCTACTCTCCCCTACTTCAGACCATTTCCCAAGCCTTGGCAACAGCAAAAGATCATCTTGCCCGCTCGTTGCTCAAATGATAAGTCGTTATCAATGTCTTTTCTTGTAGTTGCATCCAATTACTATCGATTTTATCCTCTTTACTGACTCTAAATCAGCTCCAAGATGGACTTTCAGTAGGGCGTTCATTGTACAATTGTTTTCTTAAAGGATACAAGGCGAGTGCTTGCTTTACAGATTGAGTCATACATGTCTCACCTTTAAAAAGCCCTTGTATTGCAGGGCAGAATGCATGGATGGTAAGGGGAGATAATTGAATGGGAGTTTCATCCAGATGTACATCTCGGAATTCGAAGAGTGCCCTTGGATTCCAGTAACTAGTAACATGCCAACCCTGGAGTATTACTTTTAGACGCGTACATGGTTGGCATCGTGAATTGCGAAGAAAGGTTGTGCATTTGTTTTTTGTCGTAACCACTACAGCAGCTGTCAGATGGTTTTGCGCGACATGCGGGTACCTGTAACAGCGTATGTTCTGTGACAAGGCAGGCATTGGATGGTACTCGAGATTTCTGATGTCACGTCGCAGGTGGCAAGATGCCGCTCTCTCTGCAAATGTTTTCTGTATGCTATTATAACGGTTGAAAGAGTTTTCTCGAGGTTTCGGCTTGTGTCATCCGCTGTGGCAGTGCTTGCCAAGCGAACCAGCAGCATGATATGCGGCAGCACACCCTGGACCTCAGGGAACTAAACCCTTCCCATTTCCTAGTGCTGCGTTGGAATCTGGAGTTAGAATCTGGCGTAAATGTTAGACATGTCGCAACGTCGAGCCGCACGGCAAGAATCAACCTTGAGACCTGTAAGGATACGCTCAATGCACCTGAAGTTGCTCAACTGGCTTGTGTTACAGTAGCCTCCTCTGACTTGTAAAAGCGAGGGAAATCGTTCTGTCAACTTGACGACTCGTTTCCTCCTTTCTAGTACCTTGCGAGTTCTACCTGAATAGTAGCGCCGCGTGCGACGCCAAATGGAGCAAAGTAGCAACCACGATGCGTGCAGAGGATCCTGTGTGCGTGCCGCTGTTCAGTCTATCGAGCACCCAGCCCGCTTGAACTGTCTGTCTATAAAGCAGGGCTTTGCTTCGGCAGAACATCTTATTCTGTTTAATTCTTGGCCTATCCTTCTAGATACTGCGCCGTAAATCGCTGTACCACCCGCAAGTCTCAGGACCGTGATTCCTTAGTGACTATTACTGCTACCAGTACATCTCAAAGCGGCAGCAATGGCCCATACGTCGCTGCGAATCGCAACGGTCCTCGCTGGTGAGTTGCTACTATATATCTGATGATACACTCACCGCTGTGAGCGGTGAGCGCTAGTGAGCACGTTTTCTGCTCTCTGTAGTTGTCCAACCGTTGCTTGCTCACTCTACTCACTCGCACTTCCCGTAATATCCACGGTTTCGCTTGAAACGTGTCTCACGCTGCTGAGTCTGCTCCTCCGTTTTGCAAATCCGTAAGTAAGATAAATAAGATAGCAGCTAATAGCAGTAATGATTGCAAAAATCGGGACTCTGGCACTAATATTCCCCGTACGTCATTCTTCGCATGCTGTGCTGCTCTCGCTGTCCTGCAGCGCCGTCGACGCCGACATCGGCATACGCCGCGAGGCACTCTGTACGTCACCCTTTCTTGTTGTGTGTCACCCTTTCTTCTTGTACGTCACCATTTCTTGTTGTATGTCACCCTTTCTTGTTGTACGTCACCCTTTCTTGTTGTACGTCACCCTTTCTTGTTGTACGTCACCCTTTCTTGTTGTATGTCACCCTTTCTTGTTGTACGTCACCCTTTCTTGTTGTATGTCACCCTTCATCGTTTTCCGTCATTTGTTGTTGTACGTCACACTAGCACTAACTCGAATTTGGACGCATGATGGTCAACTTAATGGGTCATGTCGTGCTCCCCTGCACCGTCTCTATCATGCTTGCATTGCTTATCCGGTGTGTTCCGTTCCTTCTGTCTACCAAATTCGTGTTTGTGGTCCTTCCTCCTGTTGCGCAGACCAACTTAAGTCCCGGTTTGCCTCGACAACTGGTGCTTTGACTGGCTCTTGCACTCTGCGAGCTAATGTGTAAGTGCCACATAAAACGTATTGCGTTTACTTCTACAATCCATTGACTTTTATAAAGTAAACGCATTGAGCATGTAGAAGAGGCTTTGCACTCAAAGCTGAGAGAGTTGATTCCAATCGTAGCAGCACAGCTCTCACATCACTTGCATGTCTCTCCCTCCAACCCTGCCCCCCACCCCCCCTCCTCGCCCGCTCCCACTTGCAGCTCGGATAAGCTCCAAACGTTCAACTACAACTTCCGCATTGCGGGCATAACAACCAAGTCACCAAACATCACACGTCTCGGATTCTACAGGAGCAGCACCAAGGCCCTCGTGAAGGAGTTTCCGCTTCCCTGCACATACGACACGGTCCCAATCGTGGGCACCACTTGGGAATGCACCATGACAACTTCCACTGCAGTCGCTTCGCCTTACATGCCTAACAGCCCATTCGATCTGTTCTTCGCTGCTGGGATGTTCAAGAATCCTCGGGACTTTTATGCTTCCATAAAAGTCAACAAAATTGAGCTGAGAGGGCCTAATCGAGTATCAACGCAGTTCTGACAGCGAGGCGGCGTTTCTCTGGTATCCGCTTAGATTAGGTTGGGTTTTGGCATGCCCGCCCAGCCTTGTGTTATGCAGCTTCCTTGAATTCGGTGTGGTTAGATTACCGTATGTATGTGTGTATGTTCCTGGTGATGGTCTTGATGATGCTCAACCAGTATGTTTGATGTTTTGCGGGATGAAAAAGTTGGCCTAATTTTTGTGTGTGTGGGGCGCCAGATTGCAGCTGTTTGCGGAAGGCACAGCTGAAGCAGGTGTGTGTGACACACTGAGGCACTGTGTGTTGTGTCACTGTCACCACTTGTGTGGTGTGCTGGAGGGTGCAAGAGCCACCTGTGGCACCTGAGACCTGACCGCTCAGTCACTTGTGTACATTCTGAGCCACTTGTGCAATGAATAATGCATTAGTAGCCTACTAAAACATTTCACTGGTAGGCCATGTCCAATTCACTGATAATCGGTTTACCTACCGTAAGAGAAGTAGCATGGCATGAATGGTGAGTATTGACAGGGACGAAATACGGTAGTACAGGCACGTACACTCCGAGCCATCCCTTTCCCGTGCAAGCAGCAGGCTGCAGCCCTATCCTTACCAAGCTTACCCGTAATCCCCGTGTATACAAGACCCTAGGATATTATGATAATCACCCCTAAAAAGGCTGGGGGGTATAATTATATGGTATACTTTTTAGAAGACCCGGGTCTGTTCATATTGACATTTATAAGAATGTAGTTTTGGAGCTCAAAGAAGTGATTTGGAGTTGCTCCGTTTTTAGCTCCTCCCAAAAAAACTCGAATTGGTCTCCACACGGGCCGAACCCACGTCATCACAAACCCTAGTTGGGAGCCTACTCCCATTGGCCACCAACACCACTTGGTGTTCACACGACAGAGCAGGGCACTGTTTGATGGCCTCGGCCTTCACACCCCATGCACGCTTCGTGCGGGCTGTTTGTAAAATCCACACTTCTCTAGGATGTGGGGGGTCTTATAATGTTAGGGGCCATTTTGGGGGTATAACTCAGATGTACTCGAATAGAGTACCCGGGTCCGTATTATAGACCCGGGGGTCTACAACTGGGGGGGGTCCTATATACGGGGGATTACGGTACCAGCAGCATCCCTCCCAATCCTCACCAATCTCAGTCTGTCCGCCCTGTTATTCTATTCCCTTGCTGCTCAACCTCCCTCCCTCACCTCACTCTCTCCCTCACCTCACTCCGTCCCTCCTCCCCTCACCCACTCACCACTTCACCTCTCCCCCAGCCTCTCCCCAGCCTCTCCCCAGCCTCTCCCCAAGCCTCTCCCCCGACCTCTTCCCTGTCAGAGGTCCACTGGTGATCCCCGATCGATCCTAGGGAAGGGTTACAGGCACATTTGCCTGGGGGGTTATGGGCGCACTGACCCGCTACTGAAACAAGCCCTTTTATCCCAATGGTCTAGTGGTTGGGATTCTGAGATGGTATCAGAGCGAAGGTCTCGGGTTCGAATCCCGGTGTATGCACTTCGGGCATCCCAGTGCGGGGGGGTGTCAGAGGTCCACTGGTGATCCCCGATCGATCCTAGGGAAGGGTTACAGGCACATTTGCCTGGGGGGTTATGGGCGCACTGACCCGCTACTGAAACAAGCCCTTTTATCCCAATGGTCTAGTGGTTGGGATTCTGAGATTCCCTAACCTGGTTCCCCCCTATGCCCCCATCGCCAACTCCCCAATTCCCATCGCCCTTCCCTCACTCTTTTCCTCCCTCCTAGCATTCCTCCTCTCCTCCCTTGCTTCCTCATCTCACCCTCTCCCACCTTATCGTCCTCCCCCACAACACCTACTCCACACCTTCCCCTTCCTCCTCCCTCACCCCCTCTCGATCCCTTCGTGAGGCTGCCACTGCTCCCTCCAACCCGCCTCTCGCCGCACCTACCCTTTCTGCCCCCCCTTGACCTCCCTCCACGGCCTCACCTCCCTCTGTCTCCCCGCCCTCTCCCTCCTCGCCCCCCCTCCCCGCGCACTGCACTTGAATGTCTCTGGCCATCGTCCAAGTCACATTCAAGTCCCCTTCGCGTCGACCCCGCTCCACGTGGACTCGCCGCCCGCACACGCCCACCTCCGCGTCCTCCCACACCACCCCGCACCCGCGCACGTCCACGTGGCGCAGCCCCCGCGCGCGCGCCAGCTCTGCGGGCAGCTCCGCCAGCGCGGAGCACCCGTCCAGCAGCAGCGAGTGCAGCGCGGGGAGGGCTGCGAGGTCGGGGGGGAGCACGGAGAGAGACGAGCAAGACGAGAGCTTGAGCACGCGGAGGGCGGGCAGGCGGGAGAGCGAGGCGGGGAGGCGGGAGAAGGCGCGGCAGTTGCGGACAGAGAGGCGCGCGAGGCGAGGCAGCGGGCGGAAGTTGTCAGGGAGGTGCGTGAGCAGCGCGCAGCTAGCAATGTCGAGCGACTTGAGCGCAGGGAGGCGCAGGAGGGACGCGGGGAGGCGGGCGAGCGTGGAGCAGTCTTTCAGGGAGAGGCGCTTGAGGGCGGGCAGCTGGCCTATGGCGTCGGGGAGGGTGCGGAGGGTGGGGCATTTGGCGAGGGAGAGCGTGTGGAGGCGGGGAAGGGTGCAGAGGGACGCGGGGAGCGCGGCGAGGAGGGGGCAGTCGGAGATGCGTAGCGCTTCCAGACGGGTCAGCCCGCTGAGAGTGTTTGACGAGAGGAACGCGGCTGACACGGCGCTCGCTATAGTTAGCGTTTTTAAGCGGCCCAGCTGGCCAACGGAGTCCGGCAGCGCGGTGAGCGCACCGGACCTGGTGATGCTGAGGTGCGTCAGCGCGCTGAGCCCGCTCGTGGCGGCGGGTACGGTAGCAGACTCCGCAGCGCCGAGCGCCGCCTGTTGGTGTCAGGACATATAGCTTACTTACTTGTGTAGGCTATAGTGGGGTATCCCATAGGGGGTACAACACAATTAGGGTTTCCTATTTGTACTCACTTCGTTCATAGTCATTTCATTCTCGTTCACTTCTTCTCATGGTATCGAGCAGGTTCCCCTGTGGGAACTGTTCTTAGGGCCCACCTCCGCTACCTCGTAACTTGATTTCTGCCCGGAGCGCGCTCCGGGCCCCCTTACTTCCTTTTTTTTTTTTTCGATCTGCCCTAACGGCCCCTAGACGCTCCCGCGCCGCCCGCCCTACGCCCGCGCGCTGCCTGCCCTAGCGCCTGAGCGCGGCCCACCCTAGAGCCTGACGGCCGCCCGCCCTAGAGCCTGAGCGCCGCCCGCCCTAGCGCCCGCGCGCTGCCCGCCCTAGAGCTCGAGCGCGGCCCGCCCTAGAGCCTGACGGCCGCCCGCCCTAGGGCCTGAGCGCCGCCCGTCAACGCCCTAGCACCCTAGCGCCCAACACCCGCGAGCCGCCCGTCGCACCGCCCGTGCGCCGCCCGTGCGTCGCCCTCAGCAGCTCGCCGCGCCGCCCGTGCAGCCGCCTGTGAGCTGCCTGTGCGCCGCCCGACGAACCGACCGTGCAGCCGCCCGTGCAGCCGCCCGTGCAGCCGCCCAGCGTGAGCCGCCCGCGACCGCCCAGGCCGCCGTCCGTGATCCGCCCGTGCAGCCGCCCGCAGCCGCCCGTGAGCCGCCCGTGCAGCCGCCCGCAGCCGCCCGTGAGCCGCCCGTGCAGCCGCCCGCGAGCCGCCAACGAGCCGCCCGTCGCGACGCCCGCGCCACCCGTGCCACCCGCGTCACCCGAGCCGAACGGGCCGCCCGTGCAGCAGAGCCGCCCGAGCCGCCCGTGCAGCAGACCCGCCCGAGCCGCCCGAGCCGCCCGAGCCGCCCGAGCCGCCCGAGCCGCCCGAGCCGCCCGAGCCGCTCGAGCCGCCCGCGCCGCCCCAGCCGCCCGAGCCGCCCAAGCAACCTGAGGTACCGAGCTCCTACTCCTGTGGGGCTGCTGCTGCTCCTGGGCCGGCGCAGCTGCTGTGCTGTCGTGTTGCTATGCCCCTGTGCTTCCCGACTCTTCCTGCCCGGTGAGATTGTCAGCTACTACAATGGCCACCCCCAGTGTCCTGGCTTTTGACGCTGAGGGTCGCGCCATTGACTTTGCAGTCTGGATTGAGGACCTGCAGCTGTACTTACTGTGCGATGCGATCGATGATGTTTCTCTCTTTGACTTTGTCTCTGGCGCTGTCCCTGCCCCTCTTGCTGATGCTGACCCCACTGTTCGCTCCAACTGGGCCACACGCGATGCTGCTGCACGTCTTGCTGTGCGTCGCCACCTCCCTTCCTCCGAGCGTGCACACTTTAGTCAGTGCAAGTCCGCTCAGGCCTTGTACGACGCTGTAGTTGCACGCTACTCCTCCCCTTCCACTGCTACACTGAGCCGCCTCATGCTACCGTACCTCTTCCCTGACCTTGCTGCCTTTCCCACAGTCACTGACCTCTTTACCCACCTTCGCGCTAGCGACACTCGCTACCGAGCTGCGCTTCCTGCTGCCTTCCTCGCCGACAACCCCCCTCCCATGTACATCACCCTCTACTTTCTAGTCACCCGTCTCCCTGAGTCCCTTCGTGCTGTTAGGGACCAGTTTCTCTCTGTCTGTCCCACCACCCTCACTGTCGACCTCCTCGAGAAGTCCGTGCTAGCGGCCGAGAAGAGCATAGTCGCTGTAGGGGCCTCTCGTGGTGACCCGCGCACCCCCATCTTTGAGGGGTGTTCTCCTTCCCCCCTGCTCCCCTCTGTCGCCTCTGCTGCTGCGGCCGACCTCGTTGGTTTAGAGTCGGTCGGTGCGGCGTCTGCCCCCAGCGGTAGGCGCCGCTCTGGCAGGAGCAAGGGGGGCAAGGGAGCGGGTGGAGCTAGCGGGGGCGGTGGCGGAGAAGGTGGGGGCGGCGGGGGGAGTGGGGGTGGCGGTGAGGGTGGAGGTGGGAGTGGAGGTACTGGTGGCGGCGGTGGAGGCGGAGGTGGCGGCGGAGGTGGTGGCGGAGGAGGCAGTGGGAGCGGCGGGGGCGAGGGTGGCGGTGGCGGCGGTAGCGGCGGAGGCGGGGGTGGCGGTGGTGGAGGTGGTCGGAGTGGCTCGTCCCAGAGTAGCAGCACTGGGGGTGGTCAGCGACAGCACCAGCAGCAGCAGCAGCAGCAGCAGCAGCGGCGCTCTCGCGACCTCCTCGCCCCTCAGCAGCTCCGTGAGTGGTACTCGCAGCGTCAGCGTGGTGGGGCGTTCGGTCCCTGCACCTACGTCCTTCGCACCGGCGACCGCGCGGGTGAGCAGTGTGGGGGCACCCACACCGCTCGCCGCTTCTTTGCCCGCTTGACCGACGCTTGGCGCCAGCAGTTTCCGGAGGCCTCTCAGATCCCCCGCTAGGGAGAGCTGTCTAGGGCTGGTGTAGCTGTGTTTGATCTTGACTTTGATGCTATCCTTGCTGCCATGTATGCTGTGACTGTTAGTGATGATAATGACTGTTACCGGTGTTTCCCGCCCGACCCGGGCATTGGTACTGCAGTGTCAGATGCCAGTGAGGCTGCTGCTCTAGGTGCCAGTGCGTCTGTGCTCTCAGGTGCTAGTGAGTCTGCCCTCTCAGGTACTGTGTCGGCTTCTGCCTCTCACACCTTCACCCTTGACTCTGGGGCGTCTCGCTCCTTCTTTCGGGACCGCACCATTCTCACGCCACTTAGTCGGCCTGTTGCGGTGTCCCTGGCTGACCCCTGTGGGGGTCCTGTCCTGTCTCATTTCTCCACAGTCCTCCCGTGTCCGGCGGCTCCCTCTGGCACCCTGACTGGTCTTTACCTCCCCTCGTTCTCTACGAACCTGGTAAGTGGTGCTGACCTACAGGATGTGGGTGTCCACCAGTTCACTCCTGCTCGTCAGCGGGTGACACACTGCACAGAGGCTAGCACAGGTCTCCACCTGGCTACGTTTACACGTCAGCCAGGGTCGAGCCTGTACACACTGACCACTGCTTCTCCTCCCGGTGCTGAGTCTGGTAGAGTCCCTTCGTCTGGTCAGGTGTTTGCTGCAGCGTCCAGGTCTGGTCCTGAGTCTGCCCCCTGTTCGTGTCGCCGTCTGTCTCACGAGACTCTCCTCTGGCACCACCGCCTTGGCCACCCCTCTCTGCTTCGGCTCAGAGGCATGGCCTCCCGTCTTCTTGTTTCTGGTCTCCCCCGGTCCCTCCCTCCCCTTCCTCAGGGCCCTGGCCCTGCATGTGTCCCCTGTGTCGAGGGGCGCCAGCGTGCTGCCCCTCACTCCTCCCAGTTTCCTCCGACAGAGGCTCCGTTGCAGACACTTCATATGGACGTGTGGGGCCCTGCCCGCGTCCGTGGACTCGGTCACGAGCGCAAATTCCTGTTGGTGGTTGACGACTACTCGCGTTACACCACAGTCTTCCCCTTGCGCAGCAAGGGTGATGTCACTGAGGTGCTGATCGACTGGATCCGCGAGGCTCGTCTCCAGCTCAGGCAGAGCTTTGGCTCGGACTTTCCTGTGTTGCGTCTGCACTCGGACAGAGGCGGAGAGTTCTCCTCTGGCCTTCTGCGTGCCTTCTGTCGTGCGCGAGGAATCCGCCAGACCTTCACGCTTCCGGACTCACCGCAGCAAAATGGGATTGCAGAGCGCCGCATTGGCATGGTCATGGACGTCGCTCATACGTCTATGATGCATGCGGCTGCCCCCATTTTCTGTGGCCGTTTGCGGTCAGGTACGCGGCGCATCAGATCAACCTTCACCCCAGGGTCTCCAGGCCGGAGACCTCCCCAGCCCTGCTGTGGACGGGGAAGGTTGGCGATGCGTCGGCGTTCCGGGTCAAGGGATCTCGGGCGTTTGTCCGTGACTTGTCTGCGGACAAGCTGTCCCCTCGCGCTGCTCCCTGCGTCTTCCTGGGGTTCCCCCCCGACGCCCCTGGGTGGCAGTTCTACCACCCCACCTCTCGGCGTGTTCTGTCCTCCCAGGACGTCACGTTCGACGAGTCGGTACCCTACTACCGCCTCTTCCCCTACCGCACTCCTTCCCTTCCCCCGCCCCCGCTCTTCTTGGTACCAGGTCCCCCCCCGGTAGACCCCCTCCCCCCTCAGGGTCCTGCCCCTTCAGGTGTGTCCCAGGTAGACGCGGTCGAGCCTGTCGAGGTCACTGGTGACTCTGGTGCTGCTGCGGGAGCTGAGCCTGGGGGTGCTGAGCCTGGGGGTGCGGAGTCTGGGGGTGCTGAGCCTGGGGGTGCAGAGCCTGGGGGTGCTGAGTCTGGGGGTGCTGAGCCTGGGGGTGCTGAGACTGGGGGTGCTCCGCCTGGAGGTGCTTTGCCTGAGGGTGCAGCGCCTGGAGGTTCTTCGCCTGGAGGTTCTCCGCCTGGAGGTGCTTCGTCTCGCCGAGAGCCACTCTCCCCACAGGAGCTGCGTGAGTGGTTTGCCCGGCGCTTGAGGCGTGTTGCTGATGCTGAAGGTTCTTCGGCTGCAGAGGGTGCTGCTGCCGCGCGTCCCGGAGGTGCTCGTGCTGTGGGTGCTGGAGCTGCTGGGCTTGAGGGTTCTCCTGGAGCCGGTGCTGCTGAGGGTGTTGGCGCTGAGACTACTGTTGGCGGTCCGACTGGTAATTCTCCTGGTGCTGCTGGAGGTGCTGCTGGAGGTGCTGCTGGAGCGGGTACTCGTGCTGGGGGTACTGGTGCTGTCCCTGCTGTTTCTGGCGTCGCCACGCGGCCCCGACTGTACTTCGTTGCGCTCCTGCAGCAGGTTCTTGGTCTTACACCTTCTCCTGGTCCTCCTCCGCCTCCCTTAGAGGGTCCACAGCCTGTCCAGTCCCAGTCACAGCTACAGCCTGCCTCCCCTTTGCCTGCTCCTTCTCCCTACGCTGGTCCGACTGGAGGATTTACTGAGCGTCGTGAGCCTGCGTCTCGTCCTGCGTCGCCTGTTCGTCCTGCACGCACTAGTGGTCGCAGTTCGCGTCAGCGTCCTCCTCCTGTCCGTGGCACGCACCGGATGTCTCTGCGTCCGTCCACTGCTCCTCTGCGTGCCCCTTTGCCTTCTCCTCCTGAGTCCTCTCTTCCTGCTCTTGCCGACCCGGAGTCGGACTCTCTTTGTGCTGCCAGTCCCACTGTCACGCGTCTCCTTGCTACTGTTGTCACTGACCCTTCCTTCGAGTCTTCTGCTGCGTCTGCCCTTGTCACTGAGCTTGTCGACTTTGCTGCGCGCTGTTGTCTAGACTACGCTGCTAGTCTTGTCGCTGAGTCTGTGTCTGCCTGTCCTCCGTCCGTCGGGGGTGAGTGTGCCCTAGGCACGGACGTCCTTGAGGACAGGCAGGAGGAGTTCCAGTGTCTGGCTGCCGCCTCACCTCATCTCGCGTCTGTTCTGCTCGCCCCTAAGGGAGACCCGGATGCACTAGACATCCCGACTCCGCGCTCTTACGCGGAGGCGATAGAGGGTCCCTACTCCTCTTAGTGGCAGGCAGCTATGGATGCAGAGATGGCTTCCTGGAAGTACACAGGCACCTACGTTGACGCTGTTCCCCCTCTTGGGGCGAACATCGTCAGTGGCATGTGGATCTTCAGGGTGAAGCGGCCGCCGGGTTCTCCGCCTGTCTTCAAGGCGCGTTACGTGGCTCGTGGCTTCAGCCAGCGGCAGGGAGTTGACTACTTTCAGACCTTCTCCCCCACCCCAAAGATGACCACTCTTCGGGTACTACTGCACGTTGCTGCTCACCGTGACTACGAGCTGCACTCTCTCGACTTCAGCACAGCTTTCTTGCAGGGCAGCCTGCACGAGGAGATCTGGCTGCGTCGCCCACCTGGCTTCACTGGGTCTTTCCCTCCTGGTACCCAGTGGAGTCTCCGGCGTCCAGTCTACGGTCTCCGCCAGGCGCCACGTGAGTGGCACGACACACTGAGGACTACGCTTGCGGCACTTGGGTTTGCTCCTTCTACTGCCGACCCGTTGCTGTTTCTGCGCGCCGACACCTCTCTGCCGCCGTTCTACATCCTCGTGTACGTCGACGACTTGGTCTTTGCCACAGCTGACACTGCTGGACTCGCCTACGTGAAGTCCGAGCTGCAGAAGAGACACACGTGCACAGACCTGGGTGAACTGCGCAGCTACCTTGGCTTGCAGATCACTCGGGACAGAGCACGCCGCACCATTACCCTGACTCAGTCACACATGGTGCAGCAGGTCCTTCAGCGCTTCGGCTTCACGTACTCCTCGCCTCAGGCCACTCCTCTGCCTACTCGCCACTCGCTCTCAGCTCTGCCTTCGGATGAGTTCGTAGAGTCAAGTGGCCCGTATGCAGAGCTTGTTGGCTGCCTCATATACCTGATGACCTGCACTCGACCTGACCTTGCATACCCTCTTAGCATTCTCGCACGCTATGTTGCTCCTGGGAGACACCGACCAGAGCACATGGCTGCAGCGAAGAGGGTGTTGCGCTAATTGTGCAGTACGTCGGGCATGGGGCTAGTGCTTGGAGGGCGGAGTCCAGTGGTCCTCACTGGGCACGCGGACGCTTCTTGGGCTGACGACCAGGCTACGCAGCGGTCGTCACAGGGTTACACCTTCGGCCTTGGTTCCGGCTCTGTTTTGTGGCGGGCTACTCGCTCGTCTTCTGTTCTTGGCTCCAGTTGTGAGGCTGAGATCTACACCGGGGCTATGGCTGCTCAGGAGCTTCGCTGGCTCACCTTCCTGCTGACCGACCTTGGAGAGCCGCCTCGTTCTCCTCTAGTCTTGTACGTAGACAACAAGGCCATGCTGGCCTTGTGTCGAGAGCAGCGACTGGAGCACAGGACAAAGCTCATTGCTCTACGCTACTTTCTTGCTCGTGAGCTACAGCAGCGTGGACAGTTGCGACTTGCGTAGGTGGCCTCTGAGGCCAACATTGCTGATGTCTTCACCAAGGCACTTGCGCCTTGTGATCATCAGCGTTGTTGCACGCAGCTGGGTCTTGTGCCTGTCTTGCCTCACTTACTCACTTCTTGACCTTGCTTGTACCTTCACCTATATATACTCTTGCTCTTGCTTGCTTGACTCTTGTATATCTCTATATATGATCTTGCATGTGAACTGGCCTTGTGGCCTTTGAACTTGTGCTCGGAATGTGTGGTGACTTTGTGATCCACCCTGAGCTTTGCTTTGCTTTGCTTGACTGGTCTTGTGACCCCTTGTTCTCCCCCACTTTGCCTATGGGGGTGTGTCAGGACATATAGCTTACTTACTTGTGTAGGCTATAGTGGGGTATCCCATAAGGGGTACAACACAATTAGGGTTTCCTATTTGTACTCACTTCGTTCATAGTCATTTCATTCTCGTTCACTTCTTCTCAGTTGGCCCAGCGACGCGGGCAGGCTCCGCAGCGCGGGGCAGTCGTCGAGCTCGAGCGACTCAAGCGCCGCCAGCTGGCCCAGCGATTCGAGAAGCGCCGCGAGCTCAGACGCGGAGGTGATTCTGAGCGCGCGGAGGGCGGAGAGCGTGAAGAGCGCGGGGGGGAGGCAGTTGACGTGCTGCAGGAGGAGGAGCGAGAGGGAGGTGAGCGCGGTGAGGCGGAAGACTTCGGCGGGCAAGGAGTAGAGCGCGGCGAGGTCGGCGAGCGTGAGCGCGCGCAACGAGGGCGCGAGCGCGGGGAGGGCGGGGGATAAATGGGTGAAGAAGTAGCAGCATTCGAGGGAGAAAGACTGCACCAGCGCGAGGCGCGCGACTGGCTGGCGTCGTCCCTCCGCCTCCTCGCGCGCGCCGCTTCTGATCAGCGAAGCAAGGGCCGACACGTTCTTCACCTGTTGGAATCACTGAACAGGAATGGATGAACTAGCAGTGAAATGAGTACAAGTACCTAACCTTAGAATTGTGTACCCCCTATAGGCTAACCCACTATAGCCTAAACTAACACAACATATATTATGTTTGACACACACCCATAGGCAAAGTGGGGGAGAACTAGGGGTCACAAGACCAGTCAAGGCAAAGCAAGGCAAAAGAAGCTCAGGGTGGATCTCAAGGATACCACACAAATTCCGAGCACAAGCAAGTGGTCACAAGACCAGTTCACATGCAGGTTTATAATAAAGCAAAAGGTACAATGATCACAACCTAACAAGAGTAAACATGCTGGTATATATATAGAGATCACAGTACAAACAGACTCAAAAAGTAAGCAAGTGAGGTCCAGTAGGCACAAGGCCTAGAAGAGTGCAAAAGCGCTGATGGTCACAAGGCTGAAGCGCCTTGGTGAACACATCAGCAGTGTTGGCCTCAGAGGCCACGTGGCGCAGGCAAAGCTGACCACGCTGCTGCAGCTCTCGAGCAAGGAAGTAACGAAGAGCAATGTGCTTCGTTCTGTGCTCCAGTCTGTGCTCCTCACACAAGGCAATGGCTGCCTTGTTGTCGACGTACAACACTGGAGGAGAACGAGGCTGCTCTCCAAGGTCGGTCAGCAAGTAGGTGAGCCAGCGTAGCTCCTGGGCCGCCATGGCTGTGGCGTAGATCTCAGCCTTACAACTGGAGCTGAGAACAGAAGAAGAGCGAGTAGAACGCCAAGAAACAGAACCAGAGCCAAGACTGAAGGAGTAACTCTGAGACGACCGCTGAGTAGCCTGGTCGTCTGCCCAAGAAGCGTCTGAGTGCCCAGTGAGAACAACTGGGACTCGCCCTCCAAGCACTAGCCCCATGCCCGACGTACTGCACAAGTAGCGCAACACCCTCTTAGCTGCATCCATGTGCTCCTTCCGGTGACGGCCGGGAGCGACATAGCGTGCAAGAATGCTGAGAGGGTATGCAAGGTCTGGTCGAGTGCAGGTCATCAGGTACATGAGGCAACCCACAAGCTTTGGATACAGGCCACTCGGCTCTACGGACTCATCCGAAGGCAGAGCTGAGAGCGAGTGACCGGTAGGCAGAGGAGTGGGCTGAGGCGAGGAGTACGTGAAGCGGAAGCGCTGAAGGACATGCTGCACCATGTGTGATTGAGTCAAGGTGATGGTGCGGCGTGCTCTGTCCCGGGTGATCCGCAAGCCAAGATAGCTTGTCAGTTCACCCAGATCTGTGCACGTGTGTCTCTTCTGCAGCTCCGACTTCACGTGGGCGAGTGCCACAGTGTCAGCAGTAGCAAAGACCAAGTCGTCGACGTACACAAGGACGTAGAATGGCGGTAGTGAGGTGTCGGTGCGTAGAAACAGCGACGGGTCAGCAGTAGAAGGCGCCAACCCAAGAGCCGCAAGCGTAGTCCTCAGTGTGTCGTGCCACTCACGAGGTGCCTGGCGGAGACCGTAGACTGGCCGTCGGAGGCTCCACTGGGTACCAGGAGGGAAAGACCCAGTGAAGCCAGGTGGACGGCGCAGCCAGATCTCCTCGTGCAGGCTGCCCTGCAGGAAAGCAGTGCTGAAGTCAAGCGAGTGGAGCTCGTAGTCACGCTGAGCGGCGACGTGCAGCAGAACCCGAAGAGTGGTCATCTTCGGGGTCGGGGAGAAGGTCTGGAAGAAGTCAACTCCCTCTCGCTGACTGAAGCCTCGTGCAACGTAACGCGCCTTGAAGACAGGCGGAGAGCCCGGCGGCCGCTTCACCCTGAAAATCCACATGCCACAGACGATGTTCGCCCCAGGTGGGGGAACCTCGTCGACGTAGGTGCCTGTGGACTTCCAGGAAGCCATCTCTGTGTCCATGGCTGACTGCCACTGAGAGGAGTAGGGACCGGCCATCGCCTCTGCGTAAGAGCGTGGGGTCGGGATGTCTGGTGCATCCGGGTCTCCCTCAGGGGCAACAAGCATGGACACGAGATGGGGCAAAGCGGCAGCAAAGCACTCAAACTCCTCCTGCCTGTCCTCAAGGACGTCAGTGCCAAGAGCACACTCACCCCCGATGGACGGAGGACAGACAGACTCAGACTCAGCAACTAGGCTAGCAGCGTAGTCTAGACGACAACGAGCAGCAAAGTCGACAAGCTCAGCAACTAAGGCAGACGCAGCAGCAGACTCAAAGGAAGGGTCAGTGACAACAGTAGCCAGGAGACGCGTGACAGTAGGACTGGTAGCACGAAGAGAGTCTGACCCAGGGTCAGCAAGAGCAGGAAGAGAGGAAGCAGGAGGAGAGGGCAGTGGGACACGCTGTGGAGCAGTGGACGGACAAAGCGCCATCCGGTGAGTGCCTGGGACAGCAGGAAGACGCTGACGCTGGACTCGACTACTAGAGAGAGCAGTGCGGACAGGCAACTGCGGACAAGACTCAGGCGACGGAGGACGAGACGCAGGCTCACGCCGCTCAGTAAGACCTCCAGTCGGACCAGTGTAAGGAGCAGGACCAGGGAGAGAGGAGGCAGACGGTAACGCCGACTGGACAGGCGGAGGACACGCTAAGGAGGGAGGAGGAAAAGGAGGAGGATGCTGAAGGAGCGGAACAAAGTACGGCCGAGACCGAGCAGCGACACCAGAGCCAGCAGGGACACCCGCACCAGGGTCCGCAGCATCAGCAGCAGCTCCAGCGCCCACGTCCTCAGCACCAGCGGCAGCTCCAACGCCCGGGTCCTTAGCACCAGTAGCAGCTCCAACGCCCGGGTCCGCAACACCAGCGGCAGCTCCAACGCGTGGGTCCTCAGCACCAGCAGCAGCTCCAACGCCCGGGTCCTCAGCACCAGCAGCGGCTCCAGCGCCCGGGTCCTCAGCACCAGCAGCAGCTCCAACGCCCGGGTCCTCAGCACCAGCAGCAGCTCCAACGCCCGGGTCCTCAGCACCAGCAGCAGCTTCAACAGCAGCGGGGTCCGTAACACGAGGCACGCCACTCCGAAGAGTGCAGCGCCGCTCGTACCACTCACGGATCCGCTCGCGGGAGGGGAGCTCCCGAACGGGAGAAGAAGCACTAGCACCAGTCCTAGTAGTACGTCCGGCTCGAGCGGTACCTCTCCGGAGGCTGCAGTACTCTAAGTACCACGCACGCGGCTGCTCCGAGGAGAGGGCTCCTCCAGGTGCAGGACTCCCAGGCCTAGTACCTCCAGACTCATAACCCCCAGACTTCGGACTCCGCAGCTCAGCACCACGAGGCTCCACACCCCCAAGCTCAGCACCCTCAAGCTCCACACCCCCAGGCTCCACATCCCCAGGCTCCACACCCCCAGGCTCCACACCCCCAGGCTCCACACCCCCAGGCTCAGCACCCCCAGGCTCAGCACCCCCAGCAGGACGAGAGTCGACAGCTACCTCAACAGGCTCAACCGGGTCTACCTGAGACACACCTGAGGGAGCGGCACCCTGAGGGGGGAGGGGGTCTGCAACAACAGCACCTGTCGCGAGGAAGAGAGGCGGGGGGGGGAGCGGGGCAGTGCGGTAGGGGAAGAGGCAGTAGTAGGGGACGGACTCGTCAAAAGTGTTTAACCGACTGTAGCCTAAACTAACACAACATATATAATGTTTGACATCACCATCACGTTCGCCACTCGCGGCAGTGCCAGCAGTGTGGGCGGCAGTCCTCTCATCGACTTGGACGGCGCCAACACCAGCCGCTCCAGTGACGTCAGCGTCGCAATCGACGTGGGCAGCTCGGCGATCGGCGTGTCGACGATCTCTACCTCGCGGAGCGCTGGCGCCGCGCCGATGTCGTCGGGGAGCGCGCGGAGGCTGCGGCAGTGGCGGATGGTGAGGAGCGCAAGGGACTCGAGGGAGATGGGCGGAAAGCGGCCCCACCCCCGGCTGACGTTCTCCAGGCGCAACTCCTCCAGCTTGCGCCACTCCTCCCCCACGTCGAGGTGCGCGCAGCTGATGTTGCACAGGTTCAGGCGGCGCAGCTTCTTGAGCGCGCTGATGCTCTCCGGAATGCCCTCCCCGTGTATTTTCAGCGCCGTCAGCACGCTCATCGCGCAGAGCTGCGCGGGCAGCCGGTGCATCACGCGGCAATCTGCTAGGCAGAGGCGGGACAGCCGCGTGAGCTGCGTGACGGACGCGGGGAGGCTCCGCAGCTCGGGGCAGATGACGCACGCGGAGCTCTTCCAGCGCGCGCAGCGCGCCGAACTCGTCGGGAAGAATGGTAAGTCGCGACACGCTGAGGGTGAGCACGCGAAGCGACGAGAGTGACGTGAGCGAGGAGGGAAGCTTTGTCATGTTGCCGAGGCTTTGGTCGAGAGTGAACTGCTCGAGACGCGAAGCGCGGAGGAAGAAGCGGCCGAGGCACGTGGGGGTGATGCGGAAGTGCGGCACCCCGGTGTAGCGCGGCTCGTCCAGGCGCAGGCGGGAGAGCTGCGGGCAGGCGGAGGGCAGCGCCATCAGGAACTCGTCGTTCAGAAAGTCTACGCTTTTATATTATAGCGTGAGCGTGGTCACGTTGGGGAGTCTCACCAAGCCGCGCAGCAGCTCGCCCGCGTGGAGGTTGTGCTCGGCGCTGACATGGACGCCCTTGCTGCGTATATTGCGCCAGGCGCAACCACCGGCAGCACACGAGCGCGTGGCGTATCGCATTGCTGGAAGAGGCTCGCTCGAGAATTGCGGAGAGTACGTCGTCGGGCAGACCGTTGATGATATCCTCGCCCGGCTAGAGCGCGCCTTTCACTGATTCCAGATCTCGCGGCTCTTCTGTCACGTGGGCATCAGGCGGTGTGGTCGTGGCGTCCATGGCTTCTGCGTAAAGCACGCTTCCACGCGATGTGGGGCTGCTGCAGACGAAGGAAGCTATGCCTATGGTCTGGGATGAGGAGTAGTTGGAAGCACGACAAGGAAAATTGTGCACGGAAGGGTGATGGATGGGAGTGGAAGAGACGAATGAAGCAGATGGGCAGGGTAGTCCGTGCGTGCACTCCGTACGGGCAGTCCGTGCTGTCAAATTATAATATTGTGTAGGCTATAGTGGGGTAGCCTATATGGGGTACACATTTCTAGGGTTGCATATTTGTATCACTTCCATTTCTTAGTCATTCATTCTCGTTCTAAGTTTCTCATGGTATCGAGCAGGTTCCCTCGTGGGAACTGTGCCTAGGGCCCACCACATCGAACATTTTTTTTCCTGCCCGGAGCGCGCTCCCCGAGTCGCGCTCCCCTCTCTACACTCGTCGAGCCGCCCTGGCGGCCTCCCTTGCGGCCCCACCGCCCTAGCTTGCGGCCCCGCCACCCTCCCTTGCGGCACGTCGCCGCCCTCAATTGCGGCCCAATCGCCGCCCTCACCTGCGGCCCGTCGCCGCCCTCCCTTGCGGCCCCGCCACCCTCTGTTGCGCCCCCCCCCCCCCCCCCCCCCCCCGCCCTCACCTGCGGCCTCGGAGCCACCCTCAGCTGCGGCCCCGTCGTCGCCCTCACCTGCGGCCCGTCGCCGCACTCACCTGCGGCCCCGACGCTGCCCTCAGCTGCGGCCCCGTCGCCGCCCTCACCTGCGGCCCGTCGCCGCCCTCACTTGCGGCCTCGTCGCCGCCCTCAGCTGCGGCCCCGCCGCCACCCTCACCTGTGGCTCGTCGCCGCCCTCACCTGCGGCCCCGACGCCACCCTCAGCTGCGGCCCCGTTGCCGCCCTCACCTGCGGCCCCGACGCCGCCCTCAGCTGCGGCCTCGTCGCCGCCCTCACCTGCGGTCCCGACGCCGCCCTCAGCTGCGGCCCCGTCGCCGCCCTCACCTGCGGCCCCGCCGCCCTCACTTGCGGCTTCGCCGCCCTCACCTGCGGCCCCGCCGCCTTCAGTTGCGGCCCGTCCCCGCCCTCACCTGCGGCCCGGCGCCCTCACTTGCGGCCCCGCCGCCCTCACTTACGGCCCCGCCGCCCTCAGTTGCGGCCCCGCCGCCTTCACTACTGCAGCGCCGCCCGTCGCCCGAGCCGCCCGAGCCACCTCACCCAGCCGAGCCGCCGTCCGCCGCGCCGTCCTGCAGCAGCACAACCGAGCCGCCCGGCAGCAGAGCAACCGAGCAGCCGAGCCGCCGAGCCGCCCAGCAGCCGAGCCGCCGAGCCGCCCTACCGCCGAGTCGCCCGAGCAGCCCTGTCCGGTGAGCACAGCGCCTCTGTCACTGCACTGCCCCTTTCCCTACTGCTTGCACTGCCAGTCTACTGTTGTCATGGCTACCCCTAGTGTCCTCACTTTTGACGTTGAGGGTCGAGCCATCGACTTTGAGGTCTGGGTCGACGACCTGCAGCTGTTATTACAGTGCGATAGGGCAGACGGTCTCTCTCTCTCTTTGACCTCACCTCTGGCGCCTCTCCTGCCCCTACTACTGATGCTGACCCCACTGTTCGCTCCCAGTGGGCCACCCGCGATGCTGCTGCACGTCTTGCTGTGCGTCGCTACCTGCCTACCACTGAGCGTGCGCACTTTAGTCAGTACAAGAGTGCTCAGACCTTGTACGACGCTGTAGTTGCGCGCTACTCTTCCCCTGCCACTGCTGCACTGAGCCGCCTCATGCTACCGTACCTCTTCCCTGACCTTGCTGCCTTTCCCACAGTCGCTGACCTCATTACGCACCTCCGCACTAGTGACACTCGCTACCGCGCCGCGCTTCCTGCTGAGTTCTGCGCCAAGAACCCCCCCCCCATGTACATCACGCTCTATTATATAGTCACCCGCCTCCCTTCGTGTAGTCAGGGACCACTTCCTCTCAGTCTGTCCCACCACTCTCACTGTTGACCTCCTGGAGAAGGCCCTCCTAGCAGCGGAGAAGAGCATAGTCGCTGTAGGAGCCTCTCGTGGTGACCCTCGCACCCCCATCTTTGAGGGGTGTTCCCCTTCCCCCCTTTTGCCCTCTGTCGCCTCTGCCGCTGCGGCCGACCTCGTTGGTCTTGAGTCGGTCGGTGCGGCGTCTGCCCCTAGCGGGAGACGCCGCTCTGGCAAGGGCAAGGGGGGCAAGGGCGCGGGTGGAGCTAGTGGGGGCGGTGGAGGTGGCGGTGGAGGAGGTGGAGGGAGTGGGGGTGGCGGTGGGAGTGGTGGCGGGGGTGGAGGTGTCGGTTGCAGCAGTGGAGGCGGAGGCGCGGAGGCGATAGCGGTGGTAGCGGAGGCGGTGGTGGTGGCGGAGGTGGAGGCGGCGGTGGTGGAGGCGGTGGTGCTGGTCGGGGTGGTGCTTTGCAGCAGAGCGGCTCCGGTGGTGGTCAGCGCCAGCAGCAGCAGCAGCAGCAGCGTTCTCGGGACATCCCCTCTCCGCAGCAGCTCCGTGAGTGGTACACGCAGCGTCAGCGTGGTGGGGGTTTTGGTCCGTGCACCTACGTCCTTCGCTCCGGCGACCGCGCGGGTGAGCAGTGTGGGGGAGCCCACCCCACTCGGCGCTGCTTTGGCCGCCTGACGGACGCTTGGCGTCAGCAGTTCCCGGAGGCTAGTGAGATCCCCCGCTGGGGAGAGCTGTCTAGGGCAGGTGTAGCTATCTATGATCTTGACTTTGATGCTATCCTTGCTGCCATGTATGCTGTGACTATTAGTGATGAGGGTGACTGTTACCGGTGTTTCCCGCCCGACCCGGGCATTGAGACTGCTACTCTAGGTACTGGTGAGGCTGCTGCTCTAGGTGCCATTGAGGCTGCTGCTCTAGGTGCCAGTGCGTCCGCGTCCTTAGGTGCTGGTGAGTCTGCGCTGTCAGGTACTGCGTCGGCTTCGGCCTCCCTCACCTTCACACTTGACTTAGGGGCTTCTCGCTCCTTCTTTCGAGGCCGCACCACACTCACGCCGCTTGGTCGGCCAGTTGCAGTCTCCCTGGCAGACCCCTCTGGGGGTCCTGTCCTCTCTCACTTCTCCACTGTTCTCCCGTGTCCGGTTGCCCCCTCTGGCACATTGTCTGGTCTTTACCTCCCCTCGTTCTCTACGAACTTGGTGAGTGGTGCTGACCTGCAGGATGCGGGGGTTCACCAGTTTACTCCTGCGAGTCAGCGGGTGACCCACTGCTCGGACGCTCGCACAGGCCAGCACCTGGCCACGTTTACGCGTCGGCCGGGGTCGAGCCTCTACACCCTGACCACTGGGTCTCCTCCTGTCCCTGCGTCTAGCCAGGTAGCTGCATCGGGTCAGGTGTTTGCTGCAGCGTCCAAGTCTGGTCCTAAGTCTGCCCCCTGCTCGTGTCGCCTCCTGTCTCACGAGACTCTCCTGTGGCACCACCGTCTTGGTCACCCCTCCCTGCCTCGTCTCCGAGGCATGGCTTACCGTGTCCTTGTCTCTGGTCTCCCCCGGTCCCTCCCTCCCCTTCCTCTAGGGCCTGGTCCTTCCTGTGTTCCCTGTGTCGAGGAACGGCTCCGGGCTGCCCCTCACTCCTCTCAGTTTCCCCCGACAGAGGCCCCGCTGCAGATGCTTCACATGGACGTGTGGGGCCCGGCCTGCGTCCGTGGACAGGGTCACGAGCGCTACTTCCTGCTGGTGGTTGACGACTACTCGCGTTACACCTCAGTCTTCCCCTTGCACAGCAAGGGTGATGTCATTGAGGTGTTGATCGACTGGATCCGCGCAGCTCGTCTCTAGCTCAGGAGGAGCTTCGGCTCGGACTTTCCTGTTTTGCGTCTGCACTCTGACCGAGGCGGAGAGTTCTCCTCTGGCCTTCTGCGAGCCTACTGCTGTGCGCGAGGCATCCGCCAGACCTTTACGCTTCCGGACTCTCCACAGCAAAATAGGATTGCAGAGCGCCGCATTGGCATGGTCATAGACGTCGCTCGTACGTCCATGATGCATGCGGCTGCCCCCCACTTTCTGTGGCCGTTTGCGGTTCGGTACGCGGCGCATCAGATCAACCTTCACCCCAGGGTCTCCATGCCGGAGACCTCCCCAGCTCTGTTGTGGACCGGGAAGGTAGGCGATGCGTCTGCGTTCCGTGTCTGGGGATCTCGGGCGTTTGTCCGCGACTTGTCTGCGGACAAGCTGTCCCCTCGTGCTGCTCCTTGTGTCTTCCTTGGCTTCCCCCCTGACACACCAGGGTGGCAGTTCTACCACCCCTCCTCTCGTCGTGTTCTGTCCTCTCAGGACGTCACGTTTGACAAGTCAGTCCCCTACTACCGTCTCTTCCCCTACCGCACTCCTTCCCTCCCCCCACCGCCGCACTTCCTTGTGCTAGGTCCCCCCCAGGTAGACCCCCTCCCTCCTCAGGGTCCTGCCCCTTCAGGTGTGTCCCAGGTAGACGCAGTCGAGCCGGTCGAGGTTGCTGGTGACTCTGGTACTGCTGCGGGTGCTGAGCTTGGGGGTGCTGACTCAGGGGGTGCTACAGAAGTGGGTGCTGAGCCTGGGGTGCTGTGTCGGGGGGTGCTGAGCCTGGGGGTGCTACGACTGGGGGTGCTGAGCCTGGGGGTCCTTTGCCTGGGGGTGCTGCGTCTGGAGCTGCTGAGCCTGGGGGAGC